GAAATAGCAGGTTGTTTAGCAGCGAGCTTGTAAATACGTGTTGCTTTGTAAAACAACAATTAGACAACAAAGGCCGAGAGCCGAGAGAAAGAAGAGCAACTTATATTGATGGCTGGGTAACTGTTTGCGACAAATGGCATGCATGAAAATCTCGCTTGGCACGATCATCCGAAAGGGCAAATTACGTATCATTTACAAAAAAAAAGTAAGAAACGGAAAGCAAAAAGCCCCGTCTTTTGTTCTATACCTAGGTACTGTCGCGAGAGAGAGCACGTTGCAGGGCATGAATACGATGCAGAACAGCACCAAAGCCCTTCTGCCATGTCCCTGAAGCTTTTCACAGTATCCCCCTGTCAACATGCAGGAGAGCTGTCGACTTTTTTTTCCTTTTGCAGGCTTCAGCTAGCCACTAAAACACACAAAATCTCTCACTTACACCAGGGATTATACTGGGTAGAGTAGCATTGAGTGTTGAGAAGAGCACTAGGCAAGGCCCTTGTGCAGTAGTGCTGGGGGGGACGTTGCAAGCCCGCAGCCCTTTCCAAAGCGACGGTGACGGAGGCACAGCTGGTTGAGGGTTTTGAGATGGAGGTCCAGACTTGGAGAGAACCGGAAGTTTTTTTTTTTTCTCGTCTTCATTTTACTTGGTTGCCTGACATCGGCCGAATTGACTGCCGAATCATGGGGTATTAAGGAGATATTTTACTTGGAATACTACCTTACGGGCATATTATATGTATACATGATGCCGGCACATTGTCTGGCACATAGATGAACAGAAACACATGGTGTCATGATCACCGCGGTTCGTGCTAATAAGAAGGACATGGCCTCCAGATCCTTCTCCAGCTTTGTTCATCAAACCCCTCTTCAGCTCTCTCTCTTTCTCTGCTTCGTACAACTTCCCTTGTCTCGGCTTCGGCCAATAACGTCTTCACCTACTGGGTTATTCGGGGGTCACGTTCTCACACATACGCCGAAAGAAGCGCGGTCTTGCTCTCTTCCCCCAGGTCTTTTTGAAAGAGGGGGGGCCATATTTTAGCCCCAGCCGAGCAAGCAGAAAAAAAAAACTACACGTTACTGCACGAGGATGAGAGCAGAGCTCGTCTCTGCGGCCGCGGACTTGGCAAGGCAAGGCAAACAATCGGGGGGCTGCAGAGGCCCGCGCATCCAACGTGGTTTGATTAAAGCTGCTAGCATTAGATTTCGCAAACTATCGACTGATGATGTCGCCAGAAAGAGAAGTAGACTGATTTTAATCCGGCACGCATTGAGCCGAGAGACAACGGTAAACTGGAGACTGCAAGATGGGTTGTAAATCGAGCAAGACGAAATGCTAGATATAGGTCGGCCGATCCGCGCATAGCTAGTTCATTCCATCTTTTTGGTTTCTTCTCAGCTTCGTTTTTTTTTTACCATTTTGATCTTTTCCCACGTTTCAAAAGATGCATCGTAGTCGCCTGGGATCTGCATTGTTTGCCATTGCGGGCTGCTTTGCGAGCCTTGCCCATGCTGCACCTGCAACGACGAGCTCGTCTTGCAAATGCTTTCCTGGCGATGCATGCTGGCCCAGCGCTGGTGACTGGGCTGCCTTCAACAAGACTGTTGATGGGCGGCTGATTGCGACAGTTCCGCTGGGGTCGCCGTGCCATGAGGCGTCTTACAATGCGACGGAATGCCAGTTTCTGCAGGACAATTGGCTGTCTTCTCCAATTCAGTGAGTAGAAGATATCTTGTACATAGATGGCATCTCCAAGATACCATTTCCCCCAGATTACGCACGATCTCGTCTAACACAGTCTGCGCGTCAGCTACAACTCGTCCTCGTCGGTCATGGCGCCCCTGTTCGCCAACGCGAGCTGCGACCCCTTTCAGCCAGAAGACACTCCCTGCACGCTCGGCAACTACGTGCGATATGCCGTCAACGTGTCGACCGCGGCTCACGTCACCGCAACGCTCCAGTTCGCGGCCAAGCGCAACATCCGCTTCGTCATTCGCAACACGGGACACGACTACAACGGCCGCTCCACCGGGGCCGGCGCCCTTTCGGTCTGGACGCACCACCTCAAGGACACGGCGATTCTGGACTGGGCCGACCAGTTCTACACCGGCAAGGCGCTCCAGGTGGGGGCCGGCATCCAGGGCTTTGAGGCGCTCGAGGCCGCCCACGCGGCGAATCTGATTGTGGTGACGGGCGAGTGTCCCAGCGTGGGCCTTGCGGGAGGCTACGTCCAGGGCGCGGGCCACTCGGCGCTCAGCACAATCTACGGCCTGGCAGCGGACAATGCCCTCTCGTACGACGTGGTGACGCCCAACGGCACGCTGGTGACGGCAACCCGCGCCCTGAACGAGGACCTCTACTGGGCGCTCAGCGGCGGCGGCGGCGGCAACTACGGCGTGGTCGTGTCCATGGTGTTCCGCGCGCATCCAGACGCCGTCGTCGCCGGCGCAAAGTTCGCCATCGACACGTCCTCGCTGGGCGACAGCGTGCTGTATTCCATCGTCGACGCCTTCCACGCCGCGCTGCCGGCCATTGTCGACTCGGGCGTCATGATCATCTACTTCTTCGGCCCGGGCTTCTTCCAGGTGCCCGCCATGACGGCCTACGGCAAGACGCAGGACGAGGCCGAGGCCATCCTCAAGCCCTTTGTCGACGCCCTGGCCGCGCTCAACATCACGCTGGCGCCGACTTACACGCAGTTCCCCAGCTACTTTGCCCACTACCAGAACTACTGGGGCCCGTTTCCCGCCGGCAACATCCAGGTCGGCACCGACTTGTTTGGCGGGCGGCTGATCCCCCGCGCGGTGCTGCCGAGTTTCTCCCCGACGGCGCAGAAGCTGGTCGAGCTGGGCGTCACCTTTATCGGCGTGGGCCTCAACGTCTCGCGCTTTGGCGGCGATGATGCAAATGCCGTGCTGCCGCAGTGGCGCTCGTCCATTGTCGAGGCGTCGCTGACGCTGCCGTACAGCTTCCAGGTGCCCTTCCAGGACATGGTGGCCACGCAGGACACAATCACGAATGTCGTGCAGCCCGTCATCGAGGCCGCCACGCCCAACGCCGGCGCCTACATGAACGAGGCCGACTTTCAGCAGCCCGACTTCCAGGACGTCTTTTTCGGGGCAAACTACCCGAAGCTGCTGCAGATTAAGCAAAAGTATGACCCGAGCAGCTTGCTGTATGCGAGGGCGGGAGTGGGCAGCGAGGTCTGGACGGTGGCTGAGAATGGCCGCATGTGCAAAACTCAGTCATGATGTGGCTAATTGGTGACGGCATATATCGTAGTATTCATTGATGTATGATGCGGTGATTTAGATGAAATGATGTAGTGACATAGCGATTGAAATAGCGTTGAACTTGAACAAGTGCATGAATAAACCTGATGACAGAATTACAACGATAACAAAGACAACATTAAGAATAAATCAATCACTTACAGCTGGAGCCTTGGCCATCCATTACCGCATACCGTCTGTCAATCTACTTATCTAGAACATTGAATGTCGACGCTCCCGTAGCGCCGATGCCGATTGATGAAACACTGTACAAGCACCTATTATTAGATTCACCAAGATCTAATACATCCAGCCCAAGATCTAGCGCAAAGACGGACGCTTGTGTGATTAGTGGGCTGGAATGCGCCATCTCGATCGGCACATGATGATCAAGCAGATTGACTGCAGCTGGATTTCTCTTCTGACTCACCGTTGCTGCAAGAAATACCAGGAGCTGCTTGCTTATATATGCATCCATCGTCTGCATCGCCTTGGCTCGATTCGGGGTAACACGTACAAACGCAGCTTGCAGGATCTGTATGCTGTGTATCTCGCTCTTCGGAGCACGAGCTCCCGGAATTTATTAGACGACGGATGCATCCAGTGCGGCAATTTCCATCTTCAGCCGCACAACTACGCGAGGGTCAAGATGCATGCCATCGGACCCTCTCCGTGTCCAATCGCGTACTGTGCAGCTCCTCTTGCAAGATCCTTTGTAAACAACATTTGCATTTCCGTAAAATGCGATTTGTTATCCGTAATACAAATCTCAAATAATATCCGAGGCTGAAATCCGGCTTGGTGGAGTTTAAAAGACGACGGGCCTTTTCTTCCTTCTCTTTCTAAGCTCGAATATTAGACGACGGAAGTTTAGGTATTACTCCGAGCTGGAATCAATACCGTTCTAATCACCACCTGCGCGCGCTCTACCGTGCATTATCAAAGTATTACAAGGACCAAATACTGAAATGGGCAGCTATCAAGAGAAAATGGAGTCCAGTCAGCCTCTTTTCCGACGATCTGGAGTAACTCTCCGCGTTTTGCACCACTCCGCATACGGAGCAACGTGGGATAATGCGTATTCACGCATGTACACGCAGAATGGAGGATTCATGGCCACTCGTTATTTGCACTGTCAAATTCAGGGTCTTGGCTCTATCGGGCTATTCTTAGACGGCCAAACTAAAAGAAGAGAAAAAAAAAAAGTTTCCGGTTTCTCCGCTACTGTTCCGAGCATAGTTCCAGCCCACCACCGTGTCTTAGTTTCCATGATATCGACGCAAACCATTAAATACTACAAGATCTCCTCTTCACCCGCTCTCCACAATGCCTCTCTCTGCCCTGCCATAAACCCAACTCGGCTGTTCAAGCCGCCATAAACAGTCGCCATGGGAGCCTCTCGAATGCCGCTGTCGCAGGTGCTGCCGCCCCTCATCTTGGGCACGGCCACCTTCAACCACCAGTACCACCCCGATCCCTCGCGCATGCCCTACGTCGACATTGTCCGGAGAGCGCTCGAGCACGGAATCAACGCCTTTGACACTTCGCCCTACTACGGCCCTTCCGAGATCCTGCTGGGCCAGGCCTTGCGACTGCTGACGCCGCCCCCGCCGCGAGAAGGATATTTCCTGATAACAAAGGCCGGCCGAATCAAGTCCGACGAGTTCGACTACTCCCCGGCGTGGGTGCGCTACAGCGTCTGCCGCAGCTTGGAGCGCCTGGGTACGCGATACTTGGATCTGGTGTACATGCACGACGTCGAGTTTGTGTCTGCTGCCGAGGTTCTTCAGGCTGTCAAGGAGTTGCGCCGACTGCGCGATCAGGGCCTGATTCGCTATGTTGGTATAAGCGGATACCCCGTCGATACCCTCGCCTCGCTGGCCGAGATGATATTGAGAGAGACTGGCGAACCCCTTGACGCTATCTTGTCGTATGGCAACTTTTGCCTGCAAAACACTCAGCTCGGGCGATCAGACTTCCTACAGCGGTTCCAAGCAGCCAGAGTCGAGTGTCTGTTAAACGCCAGTATGCTCAACATGGGCCTGCTGACGACTCGAGGCGTTGACAACGGCCCCATGGTGTCCTGGCATCCTTCGCCGCCAGAGCTACGAAAGGCCTGCACCAAGCTATCCCAAATCGCACAAGACAACGGCGAGCACCTCGAAGGAGTGGCCATCCGGTGGGCTCTGGAACAATGGGCCCGCCTCGGAAAAGACTTTGGCACAACGGCCTACGTCGGGGCTGGTCCTCGCATCGGGGCAAGTGTCATGGGAGTAACAGCCATCACAGAGCTCGACGAGACCTGGGATCTATGGAGAAGCGTTATAGGGCCCGTGATTGGCGCCAAGGACGATGTCGCAACGCAGAGGAGCGATAAGATTACGAAACTTGTCCAAAACAAGATGTGGCCTGGCTTGGGGTCGTGGAAGGACCATGCCTGGGAGAGTGGTGGCGAGACGTTTGTCAATACCCGAGTGAATATGGGACAGATTCCTAATGATGAGGTGGCGGAGAGATGGGGGCTGGTTCCTTCAGCTGCTGCTGTGGCTTCCAAGCTGTAACGTGCGATGCATAATAGTATATAGACCAGCATGGCTTTTCTTTATTTTTTTTTCTGCATCATTTCGTTTCTCGGATAAATTCCTAAAGTACATACTACCGCAATGCACAAATTACCGTTACCAATAATTTCTTGGGACGCATTAGGATCTTGGCGTCTCTCAAAACTTTTACGCCTGCCCATAGCAGTCTCCTTACTAAACACTATGTTCCCTTTTACAGTTTTTACACAGAGCTAGTAATTTTACTTTGCTTGAATCATGGTGGTTAGTGAAGATGAATAAAATCAATTAATAGAAAATCTGGTAGTCTTTTTTCCGTTTTGCAGAACCTATTACTGGTTTGACCGTATCTGGCAGTAAATTGGGTTGTTGAGGCTGATGTTGATGGTAGGCTTGCTCGTATGAGGAATTCTTCCCATTGTCTGCTTGTCATAGCAGAGACTCGAGATTTGAGATGCCGTCCTTGACAGAGATTAAGAGTCTTTTTGTACGTGGATCGACGCAACGCAAACTTGGCACGCCTGAGTTCTCTCATCATTAAAGATGTATCCTAATCCGACCGTCGTACATGAGGCTGTGCTAAAGATGGTAGGTGTGAAGAGCTCTCAGGGTGACTCACGTCGCGTCCGTTTCTTACCTTCTCGCTCATGTCTGTAATAGCCATCTAGATGTCTCTCAATGTCTGCTCAAACGCAGCCCAAGACCTCCAAAGCCGAGCTCGAATCTTTGCCTGAATTACTTCGTTCACCCACGGACCTCGGCCAGGGTTTTCTACCATGGTGTCTATTTGGAACGGGAGCACCAAGCCACCCAATAACTTTTCGCAAGCATTTTGCAGCTTTAACCGCTCAATCTCAATATTTTGAATTGAACATTGTAGCTCTCTGTCGTATTTTCTCCGCCGCTTCGTTACTCGCACGTAATTCTGATAGTGTTCAAGAGCCGTAATGAACAGTGGAACAGATACATGTGTAAGCCCGTCTTTGAATAATGGGAAAACAGAGCAAAAGGCAGGCTGAACAACCATCTCTGTCGTATTTTCTCCACCGCTTCGTTACTCGCACCTCATTCTGATAGTGTTTCAGAGACGAAATGAACAGTGGAATGGCTATATGTGTGAGCCCGTCCTTTGAACAATGGAAAACAGAGCTGATGGCGGGCTGAACACGGTTGAACAGTGAGCAGAGCGGGTAATAGCAAATCCTACATGTTTACATGTAAATAGGCACCACACAAGGTATATATATATGCCCCTTCTTTGAGCCTCGCTGAAGCAATGGCGAATATACAATTCTAATCTCCCGAGACAAAACTGAAAACTGGCCAGATATTTTGATTTTACCAAGCATTCAGCAATATCGCCAAAATGGAAGGTTCTAGGATCGCGGATTCAGTCAAGGGGTGTCTCGAGCTATTCCGAGCACTCGCCTCATTAGACCCACCCTCGCCGGCCTTGACTGCCTCTTATCAAACAGCATTGATGGCGATTGCGGATGACGAGTCCCGCCTCAAAGTTTGGTTCGCAAACATGGACGTACGCGCGTCAGAGAACAGATCACTGCGGTTCCGTCTTCGAAAAGCATCCCCCTTACGAGATCACGTCCTCAGGTTTTTAAATGATCTCTCGAAATTCCTAGAGGGAGCCCTGGTTATTATGAAGGAGGGTGTGGTGCCGTGGGATGAAGATGAAGATGAAGATGAAGATGACGACTTCCTGAACGGCGGGCCTGACTCGCTAGAAGACGATGGTGATAATGACGAGCCCCCAAAATCAGAAATGGAGCAAATCGCCGACTGTATATCGGAGTTTGTCGATTGTATCCCACAGATGAGTAATTCTCCAAGAAATCCGGCTCCTCGCGATTGTTCTGCGGCATCAGTTCCGACTGATGCGCCATACGAATCCTTTGATATTCAACACGTGCAGGCCAAGTTTCAGAAAGTGGACAAGATCCTAGCCCAGAGGCTAGGAAGTGCAATAACCATACGACGACAGTTTTTCAAATATCGGGAAAGCCTAAAGCTCGCTCATGGCCTGGATCCCAAAGACCAAGCAGATGGTGAAAGTACCATTGCAAACTCGATTCCAAGCCATGCTCAGAGTACTGAGTTCGATCATACATCACTGGCAACACATGAAGACTCTGTATGGGATACAGACACTTGTCAAGCATCCCTTACGTCTTCTCTTGCAGACACAGACCTACTTTGCATTCCACCGCTTCCCAAAGGCGCTGAGAGTGGCCATTTTGAATGCCCCTTTTGTTTCATGACCATTACAGCTACGGATATAGCATCATGGAAGTGAGTTTGAAACGTCAATTCCATCATCTCGTAACATGACAATTACTGATACAAAACCATCAAGGCGGCATGTGCTTGCTGATCTCCGACCATATACCTGCCTCTCTGCGGATTGCCCAGTAGGCAAAAGGTTTGCTACAAGCTATGAATGGATTCTACATGAAATTGAATACCACTGGAAATACTACGTCTGCCCGTTATCATGCGGAGAGAACTTCCAATCCCGATTCGAGTTTGCAGAACATGTTCACAACAACCACCCCAGCAACATGCCAGAACATCGACTTGAGGCCATGATCAGCCTCAACTCCAGACAGATTCGAGTCGAAGATGGGATACCTTGTCCTATGTGTCATGAAAGTCTTGATTCGGTGCCAAAGTATCAGCTTCACGTCGGCGGACATCAGGAACAGCTTGCAATGTTTGCTCTTCCCGCTATGCAGCCTCAGGGCGATGATGATGGCGATGACAATGATGGCGATGACAATGATGTTAATGGCCTGGGCAATGATGTTGATGGCCTTGACAATAACGTCGAAGGCCTTGACAATGATGTTGATGGCCTTGCAGAGGATGCTGATGGTCTTGACAATAATGTTGATGGCCTTGAAAATGATGTTAATGGCCTTGACAATAATGCTGATGGCCTGGGCAATGATGTTGAACACGAACACGTCGGCAAAAGAGAGGTGGACAATATTCAGTCTCACAAAGCATCTGGGTTCACCAAAATTATAACCGACTCTAGTTACACATCTAGCCATTCCAGCATGACTACTTTCAAATGTGATTCTCGCTCCATCACTTTCTGTACGAGCACAGCAGAGTTCAAAAATAATAAAGTGGGCAAAGATTCAGTCATAATTTTTGGGGATATCAGTGGCCCAGCCGGTGCAGAATTGTTGAAAGGCATATGGAACTAAAACAGGTTCCAGAAAGATGGGAAATAGGTAATACAACCTAGTCCCAGGGCAAAGAATGTTTACTGGCGCTGGTGATCTAGTCACAGAAGACGGGGTGGGATTTCAGGAAAGCTGATGGGATCTGTCGGCATTCTCTCAACGGTCTAGTAGTAAGCAGGCACATTGTTGGGTTATAGCTGAACACTTTCAGAAATTGTTTAAATGGCTTTATTTTACAGAATGTCAAGAATGCAAGATTCGAATACACGAGCAGATAAATAGGCACACTCGGGTAGTCGTGATTGCGCAGAACCTACTACTACATGTAGGTAGACCAAAGGGTTATCTCGGTCCAAGGCATTATGTAATATCGGCAGCTCAGACAACTACCCGAGGCCTTCCACTTTTGGCTGGAGCTTCTGCACCATCTCACTTGTCTCCCGGCTTTTCGCGAAATCGCATCTTTCTTCTCTTTTCTTCCACCACATGGCGGGCGGTCGCAAATCCAAGGCCGCGGCTCCAGCTCGCCCCCAGAACACGCTCGTCCTCGACAATGGCGCCTGGACGCTCAAGGCCGGCCTCGTCTGCGGCGGCTCCATCCCCGAGCCTCGCGTCGTCCAAAACTGCATCGCGCGCGATCGCTCAAAGAAGATTTACGTTGCGTCGGAGCTCGACAGATGCCGGGACTTTGGCGAGATCCAGTTCCGACGGCCGGTCGAGAAGGGCTATCTGGTCAACTGGGAGGCGCAAAAGGAGATTTGGGACCAGGAGCTGTTTGGCGACAAGGCACAGCTGAAATGCGACCCCAGCGAGACCCGGCTGATGCTCACGGAGCAGCCGAATGCGCTGCCCGTGCTGCAGACGAACTGCGACCAGATTGTCTTTGAGGAGTACGGCTTCTCGAGCTACTACAGAGGCGTTGGTATGTTGTTGTTGAGCTCCTGACTCTCGCAATAGTCTGCCATCAGATGCTAACTCGCATACGCTGCTAGGCTCGACGTTCAATGCATATCACGACCTGCAGAGCCTCTTCCGTACGCCAAAAGACGCCCTTACAGCCGCCAACACGCCAGCTGAGATTATGCTGGTAGTCGATTCCGGCTTTTCGCACACGACAATCACTCCCCTCCTCGGCGGACGACCCCTCCACTCGGCCATTAGGAGAATCGACATTGGCGGCAAGTTCCTGACAAACTACATGGCTCGCCTCATCTCCCTGCGCCATTTCGACATGCGAAACGACTTGTACATTGTCAACGAGATGAAGGAAGCGTCGTGCTACGTTTCTGCCGACTTCAAGAGAGATCTAGAACGCACATGGAAGGGAACGAGAGGAGAGAAGCGCGAGGATTACATCTCCGGAGCTGGGATTGTCAAAGACTACGTTCTGCCAGATTTTCACACTAGGCACAAGGGTATCCTCCGTGAATACGATCCTGCTCAGCATACGAAATCCAAAAAACTGGCCGCAGCAGGCCACTCAGAAGAAGACGTCTTGACTCTGCGAAACGAGCGATTCACCGTCCCAGAACTCATCTTCCGTCCGTCAGACGTGGGTATGCGACAGCCCGGTCTTGCAGACGCCATTCAGCAATCTCTCCACGAGCTGCCCATTGGCCTCTGGCCTGGCCTTCTCGCCAATATCGTTGTAGTCGGCGGTAGCTCTCTGTTCGACGGGTTCATTCAGCGCCTGCAAAAGGAGCTCGTGCAGCTTGTCCCCGACGACTGTATCGTCCGCGTCGCCCGCCCTGCGGATCCCATCACCAACACATGGTACGGAGCCGCCCACATGGCAAATCATCCAAACATCGAAAAAGTGGCCGTCACGAAGCAAGAGTACGAAGAGAACGGCAGTGCATGGATAGCCCGCAAATTCTCAACAGGCCTCTTGACTCCCTGAAGAAGGGCAGAGACTTGGACGTTTCATTGACTCCCCGCAGCCGCGGCGCCTCTGTTGCCTAGTTTAATCTTTTGAGCCGCTTGAAATGAAGTGGCCTTGGCGCAGGATAGCCCGATACGACTGCTCACTATAATTGGATATATACGCTAATGCGTCTGGGCAAGCCAAAGATGGAGTGAGTTGGTATTCTTGGCTGTTACATATAGCAAGACATAATCACGACGATCACGGATTTCCCACATCTTGGCATTCAATATTAGAAAGATGTTTATACGCCGTGGTAAGCTTTCAGTTGAGACCAAATGCAAGGAGATTTCGCCAAGCAGTCGAGGCCTCACTGTCTCGGGGAACGTTAAACTGCTACACGCCGAGGAAGACGCCCAGATTACGCCGAGACGCGCGTAATGTCGTACATGCCGTTGCACTGCCGCAAACATATAGCATCGAGTTACTGCGACAGGAAGAGGGGCTTGCGGAGAGGCAACAATCAGTCATTTGATTTGATTTCAGAGCATAGGCTAAGTGTACCCAAAACGCCATCCAGTTAGATCTCATCTGGCTGATCGCCCATCACACTATCTTATGCGGAGTATCAAACACGTCTATCGCACTTGACCCGAGAAAAATGATTCGACACGCCTCGTGTCGTGCCTCGCACTTTTCGGCATGCTTCGGCATTTCGGCATTCCTCTAATACGCATTGCGCCTATCACTGGAGGTTACAAAGCTAGGTTGAGTGTGGATGGAAACAAAGTTGAAAGGAGATTCGCTCATCATACTCCATACGCCGTCATGAGTTGGGAGTCTTCAGCCCAAAATGTCAAAGGGAGGAGAGGTTCCACTGATTCGTTGGAAAAGATAGAAGAAGAGATTCTTTGTAGATCAGAGACGGCCTAGGCCTCGACCTCGAGACACACACCCTACATTAAGAGTTAGCACTTACACTAGCTCAGAATTCAAGCCATAAGGGGGTGAGCATTACAATCGCACTATCTGATGCGTTAGCAACCTGTGAATTTGTGACTGTCTTGGTGTAATACTTACGTGGTTCGTTGAACATCCTTCATTGTGTGTGGTGCAATAGCCAGCGTTGCATTTCCTGCACACTCGCTGAGTACGATAAATGCAATCGTCACACTATATTTGACCCCCGTGTTAGTTCTCTTAAGTAAAGTCAACATCGTGGCAGAATCAATACTCACATTGTTGCCGCATTCCCAGCAGCTTTTAGAAACTCGTGGCTACGCAATAATTGTTAGCGGAACGTTCTCCTATGATGAGCGCTCTGTAATTGTGCCTTTTCTTCACCCACAGCAGCAGCTGCGGCATCCAACAAGGCAGGGGGAGGAACAAACGCTGCGTACAAATTCGAGAGGTCTGTGTTCGAGACTGGCCTGAGCGGCTGGTCCAATCCATCCCGGCTCGTCATGTCGCAGGCTTTATTTTCAAGGGCCATTTGTATCATCCTCCCTCCTGGGCTCGAGCAAGTGTACATGGATGACAGAAACCGTTTCGTACCTTGACTTTCATAGTCGGAGCTTCGAGATCCAAATCGCCAAAGTCATTGACCGTATCATCGTCAACGATGGCGATTTGTGTTGCATAATGGCCGCTTGAACTTTGGCCAGAAAACTCGTAGCATGATTCACACCACCATTTATTGCAACCTGTGCAGTACCGCTCGCGGATGCAGTCCATGCATCTGGGCACAAATGAGGCGTCTGCGTCTTTGGGTGCGGTTGCAGCCCGAAGGGACGAAGAGAGATGAGGCAGCGGAGCCAGCAGCGGTAAGTTGGCATCCGGACTGATGCCGTTCGGATAAGTGAAGCCTTCGGGGGCTTTGTGGCAATTCTCACAGCCCGACAGAGCATATGTAGCCACGGCGGGAGCGCTGTCAGCATCGGATCCGCCCTTGAAGACTGGCGAGTTGCGATGGCGCAGGCCTTGGCAAAGCACAGCATCAAAGGAGATGATGCCTCGACAAGCGAGCATGCAGTGAGCCCACTCTTGGCTGATAGGTCGAGGGATGATGCGGCCCTTCTTGTGCCACCAGGCATCTCCCTCCTGCTTCAAAGAAGATGCCAGAGCAGTTTGACTCTTCTTGTTCCACTCCGTGCTAATAGACGATGCGGATGGGCCGGACGGCTTCGCAGCAGCCAAGACGTCCCGGGAACCAAAGACGTAGAGAGCCTTGAGCTTGGGAGAACCAACTGGCCGAGTTTCGCGGCAGGCATACTGTAGTGCCTGGCGAAGCTTGGCCTGGTTCAAGTTCTTGACGTCCCGGATCGATAAGACGCGGACATTGAAGGCCGCATCATTGATGATATCATGGCACAGCTCCGCAGTCACGGAGAGTCCGTCAAGAACCAGAGTCTGGACATTTTCCAGAATGTGCCGTCGCTTGAGGTTGGACAAGATGCCCCTCAGCGGACCAGAGTAAAAGCTGCGGTAAAAGTGAGCCTAGGATCGTATGACATTGATGACGATGCAGGGGTTTCAATGTTTGCACTCACTCATCTTCAGTAACGTTTTCATCTAATTGAACATTACGCCAGATCTCGCCTCCATGGTCGATCTTGTCAATCTCAAACTTGAGAGCCTTGATGTGGGTGAGATCAAGATGGCGAAACACTCCCGGCGTGCTAAAGAGGAGCTCCCGGAAAGCTCGGTTCGTCGCAGCTAGGCTCAAGATGCTCGAGATGGACAGGTAGGGAATAACGTGGCTCAGGACGAGGGAGTTGTGGATGGTATCATAGAGGGAAGTGGTTGGATCATCAGTCACCGTTGAAGCCAGTAGTTGGATCTCTTCGCGCGTTGGGTCGTGGAAGGTAGCTAGGCTCATGTCAGGCTACCAGACCTCGCAGCACAAGAGACTTCGCGGGCGATGGAAGAGCGTCGCAGGCGAGGTTGAGGAGATGTATGTGAGCTCGTAATGGCTGAATTGAACCAGAACGAGGAAATATAGATGGAAGAAACAAGATGGCTTGCTGAGGTTGCAAGATGATAAGGTGGGGGAGTTTTGGGGAAAGCCTTCCGTGTACTTCAGGACGCAGCTGTACAAGTAATAGCTTTCAGGCACAGTGGAGTCTAGAAACCAGCGCTCAACGCTTTATTTCCAGAAAGCAAGCAAGTCAATAGTTTAGACAACGATGAAGATGAAGAAGGATGCTGAGGACGCGCACAGCATGAGGGTTGGGAGCTGTGATATACAAGTAGGCAGGTCATCGACTGCAGGCTGTAATACGATTGGCGGATTACCCGAAATGGATGCCCTACCTAGAGCTACCAGTAATGGCTATTACTACTCCTCACCTGTACCGTACGCTGCGGGCACACGTGTTATACGCCGGTACAACCTTGTTTATAAGCAGTAAGACAGCTCTGAGATTACACGTCGCCGAGAACCACAGCCACCAGTCAGAGCAGGGCGGGCTACTTACTCGTGCGTTGCTGGCGCGCATAGAGCAAGACGTGGCCGAAGCTTGCTGTCTGGACGGCACGTCAAAGGGCTGCTCCCACTGCCACTTGGAGTATAGACGCTAGGCTTGGCCAAGACAGGGCCTCTTGGAACTAAAACAGCACCTTCTCCTTATCAGGCTATGGTGGCCAGTCCAGATGCAACGGGAGATTGGGGGCGCCGGATGGCCAGATGGGGGGCCTGTTTCTGGCGGGTAGCTCGTGCGCTGAGCTCCTCATTTCATGCTTCCGGCAGCGCCAGCGGCGGCTGCAAATCTTGTACCTAGAGCATGGTTCGATGGGTTGATTGATGGCTGTTGCAAAGGTGAGCTCAAGGGGAAGAAGCGCCGAGCACCGACGCAGCCTCCACCACGCCAGGTCCTTCCCACGGATATGGACCATCGGCTGAGATGGAGGGATTGCTCGTGGCGAATGGGCGGCCAAGACGTAATGCGTTTATGTAGCACGTCTAGAGATTCGTCATTTCCATGGAAATCTAGGGGACGAGTCAGGGCGGGCAATGATTAGCAGCGCTTGGGAGGTTGGTTCGCAGCTCTCATCTCATCGTCCCAACGGCTGGCAACCCCAATATCTGAAATCCTTCCTCCCTGGTGACGAAGGATCACCGATGAGGCGGCCGCAGGCCGAATATGGCGACTTGGAGTGCGGGGGACCACCACCTCAGATAGAGACGGACAAGCAAAGGGCGTTTGATCATTGCATCGCTGAATCACTCCCAATTACCAAGTCATACTCGGTATCATGACCTCGAGTAGTACACAAGAGTACCTTGTAGACGATCGCTATTGACTCGTCCGCCTAGTAGAATGTTGCTGCCTTGACTAATTGTCTTAAAGGACCCCTCTTGACGCCTCTTTCGTTTCATTCAGGGTCCTCATGTGCCGGAAGTGCGGAGAGATGCCGTTCACCGTTCGGACTGATGAGCAAGATCGCTTGGCGTGGGGGAGAGCTCTGAACTTGGTCGTATCGCGGCTGAATAGCGAGTGGTGCTATTTGCGGGGCATCGTGACCCTTCTGTGGCATACCAACTCTCCCATATTCTTCTCCTCTCTGTTTTCTAATCAGTTTTCCCTGGTTGCATCGGTTTGTCTCACAACTCTTTAGAGTGATTAGTGCCTCTCGTGTCGAACACAACTCCAAATTCAGTCGTTGACCAGACAATATGCCCATGATGGGGAGCCTCCCAAGCAACGAGGTGGCACATGGTCCACGTGACATCGCACGTGTAACCTATCTTATCGCAGCCGCCAAGACTCTCCCTGCATCTGTGCTACGCCGTGGAAATTGGCGGAATGCTGACTTATCACTATTGCCCCTCTAGGCGTTTCTGGCCGCGTCTTCAGCTGTCGCCTCGTGATGGCGTACAAGTAATCTTGCTCTCGATTTTTAATCTTTAGACTCGCGATAGCTATGAGACGGAAGCCATCTGTCTTGAGCAACCTCTGTGCAATTCTGTAGCTCTTGGCCCTCGTCCTTCTCCTGCAATTCACATCTACAATACCCTGCTATAGCGAAAAAGCTGCCCTTGGGCGCTTATAAGACCGAATAAGGCAGCGCCATGGACGAGCCAATCTCTCTCCGGTGGTCAGACACGTTCGCGATCCTTCCTCAGTCCGATCCGATCTGCAGCAAGCTCCCGGGAGACAAGATCATTCTGCCTCCGTCTGCTCTTCAACAGCTGCTCTCAGCTGCGTCTTCTCAGGCAGCGACGTCTGGCAGCAACGGTTACTTCGGCTCCAGCCACTTTACCACTCCGGTATACGGGCAGGAAACTCAACAGCTCCCCAATCCTTTGATATTCCGACTCGTGAACCCGAAAAATCATAATGTGGTGTACGCTGGAATCAGAGAATTTTCTGCTCCCGAGGGAACTATGGGCTTGAGCTCATTGCTCCTTGAGGCTCTTGCCATTGGGCCTGATGATTTCGTATCGTTGAGCTCTGATGATGCAGAAATTGAAGATGCGGAAGACCCCATAGCCCAAAATGCCGCCGTCAAAGGCAGTCGGATTACAGTACATGCCGAGCAGCTTCAGAAAGGAACGTATGTGCGGCTGCGACCTCTCGAAGCTGGATATAATCCAGACGATTGGAAGCCATTGCTAGAACGCCAGCTCCGGCAAAACTTTACAACATTGACAAAGAACACGGTCATCCCTGTGCAAGGCTCACAGGGGGAATCCTTCAAGCTGCTTGTGGATAAGTTTGCGCCTGATGGTGACGGTGTCTGTGTAATTGACACAGATCTAGAGGTTGATATTGAGGCCCTGAATGAAGAGCAGGCTAGAGAGACAATGCGCCAAATCATGGCACAGGGACAATCGGTCTCTTCTGACAGCTCCAAAGGTGGCGAGTTGGACATTTGGAAAGATGTCGAAGGCCGGGTGGTACCTGGTGAATACGTCGATTACACGCTTCCGTCCTGGGACCGATCACAGAGTTTGGTCGTCACTCTAAGTGGCATATCTGATGCGGACAGCTTGGATCTTTTTGTCACCCCCAAATCGCGTGAACAAAGAGCTCTTCCTCGAGAGGCTGTCCACGTCTTTGGAGATTTTTCATCTGCTCAGTACGGTGTCAAATCCATAACAATAATGCCAACCAATATCGAGCTTGAAGACGCGGAGAGTCTACTTATATCTGTCCATGGTTATCAAGATCCTGATTCGGATGTTAAATCATCAACACCAGTTGCCTACACTATCCGGGCAAAGGTTGTTCCTTTGGACGGACCAACAAGCGAGCTCCCTATGGAACTTGACAAGGAACAACATTCCGCGGATGAAGAGCAATGTACGAATTGTTTGCAGTGGGTCCCGAAGCGAACCATGGTTTTGCACCAGAATTTCTGTTTGAGGAACAATATTCTCTGCCCCATCTGCAAGTCGGTATTCAAAAAGGGCTCGCCCGAGTATGAGGCCCATTGGCACTGCGATCACGATGAGGCCCATGGAGATTCGCCCCTAAGCAAAGCCAAGCACGATAGAGTGTTTCATACAGACTACAACTGCCCGTCTTGCGCGTTTTCGACCAACTCGCTCGCAGATTTAGCGCGCCACCGCACAACCGTGTGCCCTGGAAAGATTATCCTCTGTCGCTTTTGCCATCTTGAAGTGCCTCAAGAAGGAGACCCCTTTAACCCGTCACCCGAAGTTGTGCTTTCAGGAATGTCAGCCCATGAATTGGCAGACGGGGCTCGTACTACAGAGTGCCATCTATGTGATAAAATCATTCGTCTGAGAGACATGGAAACCCACCTGAAGCACCATGAGCTTGACAAGGCGGTCCGATCGAAGCCCATTGTCTGTCGAAATGTCAACTGTGGACGAACACTGTACGGCGTTGGGCAAAGGGGCCAGATAGGCACTCCGAGCTCACCTGTCAGAGGTCCGGCAAACGACATTGGCCTCTGCTCAATTTGCTTCGGACCTCTGTATGTTAGTATGCATGATCCGGAAGGAAAGTCTTTACGACGAAGAATAGAGAGGCGATACCTCAGTCAGCTGATTACGGGATGTGGGAAACCGCACTGCACCAACGAATGGTGCAAAACGGGGCGAGTGAATTCTGGCCTTGAGCCCAAGCGGTCATCTGCCGCTGCAGTACTCCCTATCGTGAAGCCGCTTTTGCCCGGGGCACTCAACCCGTCGGAACCAGCATATCTCTGTGTTGACGAAACGAGCCAGACCAGTCGCAAGCTAGCAGACCTTTTGGCCGCTGAAAAGGCTTATGACCTGGAATGGTGCGTTGCCGCTGCGGAAGCCGAAAGGGCAGACATTGATAGGATGAGAGATTGGCTGCAATCGTGGGCCCCGCGAAGATGACTCGGCAGCGGAATGATGAAGTGATGAACAGTTGTTGCATGGGATTGCATTGCATTGCATTGTATTGCGTTGGTCAAAGACAGATACCCTAAGGATGAGCTCTACACTGGAGACGAAGGATCAGACAGTCACCTAATAATTAAGAGCATATATAGACTCGCCATAGAATTATAGCATCTCTTTTTATTCTTTTCTACTCGTTTAGGAAATATACACTTGATAGGTCTTCAGCAACCGCTTCTATAATGTATCCACCTACGACTACTTAGCATCAATCCGAAACCAACCTCAGCTAATCTCCTGGCCGGCTAAATGTTTCCCACGGCCGTGTCGGAAGCTAGGGGCACGATTCACATGCGTGCCCTGATGATGACGTTGACTGGCAGGCTTGCCGATCAATGATCTCACCATGAGCACCGCCTTTCCTTAGTAGGCAATTCAATGTATGTAGACATACCTAAAGGCTACGAGTCTGTCTCGTGAAGCTCCCTTTGAAGAGACTATTAATTCCATCTATAGATGACAGAACAGAGATACCAGTAGCATGGTAGGCCAGAAAAGTAAAAGTAGAGCACACCGCCAGGATAATGGATAATGGTGCGCGCGCAGTCACCCGGAAGGATGACGGAACTAGCGGTTTTGTGCATTTGCTAAATGAGGCTTAACTGAGACCAAAAGTCCGGTTCCGGCAATCGCAGGGTCTACAGGAACTCATCCAGAGAGAGGCCAAGGGATGAACAAACAGCTGTTGGATAGATTGTTTGATAAAGCCCAAATACACCAAATGAAAACTAATCGAATGGTAAGCAATAAGCAGCCCAGGGATTACAAGTTACAAGCCCATCATCGTTTGAAGCAATTAATTGGGTTACCAGCGTTTTAACGTTGCGAGTAACACTTGCGGCCCCTACCAAGGTACGTACGCGTACGAGTGGACTGAATCCGGCTGTCCCGAAAGTACCGTTTCGCAGCGCGGTACCTCTGGGGGGGCTGCTGACCGGATTATTCTATAAAGAGCGTGATTACATCTTGAGAGATTCGACGCAGTATACATACATGCATTGTTTGATTGTGGGTGAGAAAAAAATACCTGATGAGAAGCAGGGCTGGACAGGCATTTTTGTTTGCGAGATGGTAAGGCTGAATGAACCTTGTTGGGCAGATGTGTAGCTGCATGTTTCAGGTACTCTCGGCTCAACCGTAGCTTCAGCGCAAGCCAGCTGGATGCAGCATCTGTAGGTGGCGTGCTGGCCTTTTATTGCTGAGATGGAGCAGCCAAGAGCTGGTAATCATGAGCACACAGCTCTATACCATGATGCGTGCTATTGTCGTTGTCGCATTGGCAGCTGCTGCATTTGACAAGAGGCCTCCTGTATGCACGAGTATATTCTGTAATTGGCGCAGTTTCCATAATTTTGCCTGCAGACGCCCAGAGGTGCCTGGTCGTGTGCCGTATTGGCTGCCAGACATCGCTCTCACGAGTGCTGCTCCTGTGGAGTATGTCAAGAGACACTTCGTATAGCTATAAGCTGCTTCAACTGCACGCCTTTGCACGTGCTACGACTGCTATTTTTTCTGAATTACATGTTATTATCTGGATTGAATATTTAAATAAACTTTGATAAAAAAGATGATCTGTACTTCCACAATATAGCTCATATATTCCCAGCTGCGCATGTGCGTATATTATCGTCGTATTGGCGGTTCTTTAGCAGCTCCGGACTCCGGATTTGTACCTCCCCTGGCCGGGGTACCTCTGCTTCCCATTTTTCCTGGCACAGCCCGAAGCTCCTCCATGCTGCGTCTTTCAGAAGGTGGGGGAAAGCGCAATTCTGCCCAGGCTGGCCGCGACCGACGGAATCACCTCCAAGCAACGGCCTTTTCTGGTCGTCCCGCTTTCAACAACAGCAGCCCCAAAGCAGCATCGCCATCGCATTCGCACTCGCCCATCCTTAGCCTCGTCCGCCTCTGTATCCGTCTCTGCGGCCTCATCTTCAGTTCCGTCTCCTCTGTCTGCTCCATCTCACTCTCCAACGCTCGTCCGTCCCGCCCGCTTTTGCGCATTGCGCTATCGCCAAAGCCAATATCCATCCGGCCCCGCTACTGGCTGGTCGGATCGAGTTGCTGCCACCAGCCGCGAGCTGCTCCTCGCCACCGGCGTCTTCGAACCTTCGCCCCAGCAACAGCACAGCACAGCGCCCGACGATTCTCTGGCTGCAGCGAGGCTCTGGCTGCCTGTTACGGGCGTCGATTTCAGAAAAACACCACCTGCGCTATGCAACATCTGCCCTGTGCAGCCGTTTGAAGTCGCTGAAGTCGCTCCCGTTGTTTGTGTGGCGGATCGCAGGGAAGCTGAGGCCTGGTGCTTGCCGCTCAGCTACTCCTCTTCGTGCCACTGTTTGCACTTCCAGTTATCGAGCGCCGTTTCCCAGCGCATGCTTGATTCCTGGGCATCTCTGCACCAGCTGCTGCGAATAGGGTGCATCCAGTCCGGATCCAAGGCTTGAGGCTGGACAAGGATTGGCTCACAGTCGACTCGACGATAGGTCACTACCTGGCGGCTCTTCGACTGCTGCCTCTCTTCGCAAATCCATCGTCCATCCGCATTAACATTTGAGTCCTTTTTTTTTTTTTTGTTTCTTTACGCTTTTTCTGCATCTTCTTTTTCCTCACATTTTAGCACACGCTCACTCACAATGGGCAATAACAACACAAAAGAGTCTCGCTCCGATTATCCCGAGGGCTACTCCGATGGCCGGGAGCGACGCTTTGAGATGGGAGACTCCCGCGGCGCCTTGGGGGAATCACGCCTTCTGCCAGGGAGGGCTGAGCGTAGCTTTCTCAGCATAGGAAGTGGCTCTTCGGCTCGAAACAGAGACCGACCGGATGCCCCGTTCGAACATCGCGAGACAAAGCAAGAACGAGAGGCTAGAAAGCTTGAGCGCGAGCGAGCCACGCGAGCCCAAGAACGTGAACGGAGTATAAGAGATGAACACGTGGACGGAGGCTATCTTGTCACCATGGGAACCTATGTCGGGACTGAGGATTTCAATAAGGCTGTTGTCAGACAGCTGCAGGTGCGTTGCTGCTTATCAGTATCATCGTTGTTACTGGCATCTAACTCGGAAGAACTAGATTGAACGGAAGTTGGCTCCCTTTTGGCGCGGCCTCAACGACTGGTCCTCTACCTGGGCTGAACACCAGCTCATTGCGGTCGCTCGTGGTCTGGACCCCCCAGCGGCCGATGCGCCTCCTGATCCTGCGTTGATGCCTCGACCGCCGCCACCATCAAGTGATTTCCTCGCCGGCCCTAGCCTTAGCAATCTGACGGTAGAGATGGGACCAAGGACGCTCTCAACTGCCTCAGATGTTAGTGGCTCAGGCGCAAACTCAGCGTTGCCGTCTCCATCAACGGCTGGGCCCTTGAAGGGCTCCATCAAGCCGAGGGCGAGAGCATTAGCTGCCGCCTTGAGTGTGGGCTCCCGCAATGCATCCTCCACTGACTTGGGCCCCAAGGAGATTCAGCTTCCCCACGATCCCTTTGTCAACGGCCAACCGCTCGAGGTTAATCTTTACAAATCTACAGAAGAATGCCCCATTTGTTTCTTGATGTATCCTCCTTACCTCAACCGTACAAGATGCTGTGATCAGCCGATTTGCAGCGAATGTTTTGTCCAAATCAAGCGATCCGACCCTCATCTTCCCGAGCACCACCCCAACGGCGAGGCGCGAGATCCAAACGAGGGTCTTTCTGCAGAGGACTCTCCTAATTTGCTTACAACAGAGCCTTCTGCCTGTCCCTACTGCCAAATGCCCGAGTTTGGCGTTACATACGAACCACCTCCCTTTCGACGCGGCTTGGCTATTGCGCCAACAGCGACTTCCACCACCGCCTCCAACACCGCCATGTCTTCTCAAAGCTCCCTCAGCTCTACTTTAGTTCCGGGTACTGCGACGGCTGGGCGGAGGAGGGCGCATAGTTTGTCCGTCAACGCACCCAACGTCATCACCACTGATCGTATCCGACCGGACTGGGCTACCAAGCTGGCCGCGGCGCGTGCGCATCAGGCACGTCGTGCTGCAGCGGCCACTGCTCTCCACACCGCAGCCTTTTTGATAGGAGGCAATGAGTCTCGGTCCAGGATACGTACCAGCAGGTTTGGTAGGAGAAATACGGGGAGCAGCGGCGGCACAACCACTCCCGGAGGAGGACAAAACGCGGGCGGAACCGAGGCTACGGAGGGCCAGGAGCTTACCGAGAGGACGCCAAGCCGGAATCCAGATGGCACTCGTCGTCCTCGTATGGAAGAACTCGAGGACATGATGCTCAGGGAGGCGGTTCGACTGTCTCTTGCCACCGAAGAAGAACGAAAGCGCAAGGTGGAAAAGGCACTTCAAAAGGAAGCCAAGAAGCGAGAAAAGGAGCGTGAAAAGGCGGAGCGAAAAGCTCTAAAGAAACAGGGCAAAGATCCTTATGGGGGCGGCCTCAGCGGAGCCAGTGGAAGTAGTTTCTCCTTGAGCCTGGGCCGTAAGCGAGGCAATAGCGCAGCCAGCGAGCTCAGACTCGAGGCAGCAATGCAGGCGGCATCGCAATCATCCAAAGGACCAGAAGCTCCGGATCACGATAAGAAGACAGAAATCGCCGGTGACAAGGGCAAAGGGGTTGATCGAGGGCCGCAGCCTCAATCTGGCGCAACGGAAGCGACTTCATCAGCTTCGCTTCCCATTCCAACCTCGAGTCCCCGAGCAGGGTCGCATCTAAGGCATATGAGCAATGCATCCTCACTTGGCTCTTCGTCAGCGGATAGTCCTTCAGGGAGCTATCCTGGGCAGGGATTGGTCGGTTCGGATGCTAATGCTGCCAAGAGACAAAGTATGGGCAATCGCAGCGATAGTGGTGACGGCGAGACGGAGAGCGAGCCCATGCTGAATTTCCGCAGCTTGGTCGCAGCTGTTGGCGTCAATATCAATGATGGTTCTATGATTAACCAGACAGAGACGGCTGAGGGTGTGGGTAGTCCACTTGCCCAGGTTGATGAAGAAAAGGAGGAGTCTGGCGCCGAGCACATAGAGCGAAGCCTTAGGGTCGAAACTTCCGACATGAGCAAGGAGTCTACTTCTAATGCTAGCGACGCAGCGAACAGTTCACAAAACATACCACCTTTTCTCGACACGCCGGAGCTGACCATTACTCCTGACACTCCCATAGTCGAAGATGGTGCTGAAGATAAACAGCTGGGACATCCTAGCGTGCTCGAACATGAAACTGGCCAGGATACGCATTAAGGAGTGGAGGGGACTTGTGCGGTATAATGATACCGTGTAGAGGTTGACGTATTGGGTTGATGTATTGGAGTAGGGGGCCCAGGGGAGGTTCAATTCGTTTTATCAATATGATTATGGAGTTGATGGTAGCTTTATGAACCAGGATGGCAGCGTTGAATGGACTTGCAGCTTGGAATCTTGACGTGTGCATAGGTTTATAGTGTGTATGGTGTATGCATTTAGCGAATGTGGGACGTTTTGCTATGAATTAGATTAGCATCACAAGATGAATACTGAACAGCGGTTTTTTTGATCCATCATGCATACAGAGAGAGAGTGTGCCGGCACTCGAGATTGTTTCCGACCGTGAATACGCGGCTTGGCCTTTGAACGGAGCGGGAAAAGCGTCGTCATGTTTGTCGGTGCGTATTATTTACGAAATTGGGTTGCAATACGCGTGTTGGAGCCCTGCAAGGAAATATGCATATATAATAAGGTTTATTTTATTGTTGTAACATGTTCAAACTACTGTTCAAGTTTGACAGGAAGACATTCTTTTTCACTAAAGACCGGTTTACCATTTCATTGGAGCATCTTTACTACAAATCGTTTATAACTTCTTTTAGGCACGGCTCTTTACTAGAAACTGCTTTTTACAGTTTCATTGAGATATCCCTTTACTACAACTCCTTCTATCCTTCCACTGGAGAATCTCCATTACACTTTACCATGGCTTCAAGGTATCACGTCATTGATATCATGGGAAGCATACCGATGCTGGGAAAATGGAGTATCTTGCGAGATCGATTGAAGGCGGCAATGGGCTGGCAGTGGTTGAAATCAGTCTTTGGAGGCAGACGTGAAAAGGGAGGGCAACAGGCGTGAACCAGAAGGGGGGGAAACAATAATTGGAGGTGGTGAATGCGTCATTTGCTGATTGATATGCTACGGTGAAGATTGTCTGAATACCCAAGGTTTTTTATGTGCTGTGCTGTTATTTTATGCCCTTTTAATCTCCTTTTGAAACTTTTCTGTCCACTCTGTGAATTCATCCCGCGAGCCATCCCAGCTGACACTCAGCAACTCGCTGACAGCAAACGAATCAAGGAAGCACTGGTCCATGGCGTCGTCAATCTCCTTGGGCCGCAGCCCGTAAAAAGCACAGGCTAGGTCTCCGAAGCTGTCGGGGAGTTTCTGCAGCAGCGGCGCAAGTTCGTTTAGTCGCTGCGTCGTCGTCGCGCTGCTGGTTTCACTTGGTGTGATGGTAGGGAGCTTCTTCATGCGGCGCTTGGTGATGGCTGTGTAGAGGAGGATGACGAGGCGGAGGCGGCGTAGGGATGATTCGAGGCGGGGGCGGATGCCGTCTGGGTCGGAGGCGGGGATGCTTTGGTGGGAGCTCATGAGGTCGTCGAGCATGTTTTGGGTGGAGATGTGGGCTGATGCGACTGCGTCTGCAAGATCGTCCTCGTCGTCGTCGCCAGCATCATCTTCGTCTTCGTCGTCTTCGTCGGCTTCCTCATCGCCCCATTCCTTGACCTCTTCCATGATGTCGTTGAGAGTATCCTTCCATTCGTTCATCTTCTGCACAAAGAATCCGCTGACGCCGCCGTTGGCAAGAGTAATGAGGCTGTCGCACGCAGACCAGAGAAGACCAGTCGATGCGATGCTGCCTTTTCCCCCAGCGCCGAACCCTTCCTTCTCTTTTGCCAAGACTTTACCGTCCTTGGGCACTTTCGCCAGCAGTTCGGCCAGTCCTGATAGCACGCGCTGGCATCTTGACGTCAATTCGCGCCGAAAGGCCCAAGTGTAGACATTCGGATCACATGCTTGGACGGACGCCGCAAGACCGGGTATAGGGCCCTTGACCAGCTCGCGCACGACGGACGAGACTGCGCTGGGGGTGAAGGGCTCGTTGATTATGAGCAGAGAGACTTTGGTGGCGTGGGCCCTGATGAGGGTTGCTGAGTCGCGGGCAAGGGCGAGGGCGTCGAGAGGCGTTGTTGAGGCGGAAGAGGTTGCTGGAGCTGAGGGAGCGTCTGGGTTGTTTCGGATCTCGCCGAGGACGTCTTGGAGCTGCTTCAGGAGGGTTCCGGCGGTTTGGATGAGGGTTTCGAGGCTCTTGAGAGCTGTGGCGTCAGGCACAGGGGCCATGGTGGTGGAAGAGAAAAGGAGTGTGGTGGTGTTGTGTAATTAGAATCTGTAATGGTATGTAGTTGAAGCTGAGCACTTCTTTTTTTTTTCCTTTCCCTTTGGAGGGGTACTTTCTCGCTGGTACCCCGCGATGTGGGGAGTGACCACCTTATCCTGGCGTACCGGAGCTTTGCCGGATTCTAGCTAGAAGACAGGCCAGGGTGGGGAGAGCTGCCACTTTGTCTACTTGGAGTTGGCGACAGCTTGAGCTTGGGCTTCTGCTTCTCCTCCAAGCCATTGCGTGTCGCCCTTCCAATTCGCCCTGCCTTTTGCCCGCGATGCAGCACCCACAGTCGTTGGCGCTCTTGGGTGCCGTGTGCTCCTTCACGGTGGCTGCTGCTGGCAGCGTGCCACGTGGAGTTGGCCCCGAGTGTAAGTTTGAGCCCGTCCATGCTATATTGCATCTACTTGCTGTCACTGGTCCAATTGGAGTCAATTGCTGATTGATTTACGCCAATTTCCATCTAGTCGCCTCCTACTACCAGAATAACGATGTATTTGCTTGCATCGCCAATCCCTCCATCAAAATCAGCCTGGATCGTGTCAACGACGGCTCGTGCGACTGTCCGGATGGCTCAGACGAACCCGGCACCGCTGCCTGTGCCTTCATCGACCATCTTTCCCCTGAACAGCCCCTGATTGGCAGCCCAACGGGGACTACAAATGCCACTCTGTCCTTGCCTGGATTTTGGTGTGCCAACAAGGGCCACCTTCCGGCCTACATTCCGTTTTCCTACGTCAATGATGGCATCTGTGATTACGACGTCTGCTGCGACGGATCAGACGAGTACAGGCATGCCAATGGCGTCAAGTGCGCCGACCGCTGTGCGGAGATTGGCAAAGAATACCGAAAGCTCGCCGAGGCGAGGAGAAAAAGCGCTGAAAAGGCCAGCGTGATAAAGCAGCAAATGCTCAAAGAGGCAAAGGAGCTCCGTCAGGAGGTCGAGCGTCGCATTACGATACTGGAGCAGGATAAACGAAACATTGAGGCTAGAAAGGCAGATCTCGAACAAAAGTACGCCGAAGCCTTGAAGGAGGACAGCAACAGGGTTGTTAAGAAAGAAGGCGCTGGCGGCAAGCTTGGTGTCCTGGTTGGCCTTGCCAAGGACAGGGTCGAAGAGCTGCGAGAGGCTCTCAGACTGGTTACGGAAGATCGCGAAGCCTTGCGTGCCAAGAAGATTGAGCTCGAGGCCATTCTCAAGCAGTTCAAGGAGGATTACAACCCCAACTTCAACGACGAGGGAGTCAAGGCTGCCGTTAGGTCATGGGACGATTACGCGGCCCGTGAAGCTGAGTCCGACCAGGCCGAGTTCCATGAGTCTGACATCAACGAAATCCTTCAGGAGGATGACGAGACCAATGGAGTAAACTGGAAAGCATTTGATGAGTATGGCGAGGACACCGACGTCCGTAAGTACAATCAGCTTACCCCTTGTTGTTGCTGCTATTTTTATCAAACTTTTTTTTTTTTTTTTTTCCCGTGTTTGCTGACTTTGAGACTCCTTCGTTCAAGTTTACAACTTTGATGCTTACCTCCCTCCATTTATCCGCAATGTGCTTCAAGAGAAACTCAAGTCTCTTCGCAAATGGCTTGTCGCAAATGGCCTGATTGCCGCTGCTCCCAGCGATGGATCAGAGTCAAAAGAAGTCAGGACTGCCCGAGAGTACGCCGAAGCAGCTGACGTGGATCTCAGAAACAAGATTAGAGATCTTGAGGCCGACCAGTCAGATCTCCAGAAGGACTATGGCCCATCCGACATTTTCCGTGCCATCAAGGGCAAGTGCGCTGAGATTGATTCTGGCGAATACACTTATGAAATCTGCTGGCTGGACAAGACGATGCAGAAATCCAAAAAGGGCCACGGATCCACCAACATGGGCAACTTTGATAGGATCGATATCGAAATGGCAGACGACGACGAGAGGGTGGATGGTAAGAGCCTTGGCAGTGGTCCTAGGATGGTGATGCGGTACAACAACGGCCAGACTTGCTGGAACGGCCCCCAACGACGAACCGACGTCTGGCTCGGGTGCGCGGAGAAGGAAGAAGTCTGGAGAGTGACCGAGGCCGAGAAGTGTGTCTACAAGATGGAGGTAGGAACACCAGCCGCCTGTGAGTATGAGGGGGACGCGATAAACTCGCACAAGAAGGATGAACTGTAAATGGGCAGTAGAGCGATGACAGCCAAAGTGTTGTAAGATGGAGACGGGATAATGCCGTTTCATACAATCATGAACGGCAGGTGGCGACTATTACGGAGAATACGACATTAGAGGGCACGGATAAAGTCAAATGATAATTGGATTGGTTATGATGCTGACGACGGCGACGGCGACGATGATGACTGTTGCCTTGATGTTTGAGTGAACTGGGGTCGAAGCTTTTTCTATATCCAGCATTTGCTAAAAACAGACGTGTGAAAATGAGAAACGTGGTTGCGGATCACGGCAGCCATGTTCCCACAACTAACTTTTTGCGGCTGAAAGCTCAACGACTAAAGCCATGCCAAACAGACAAAGCACGCACGCACCACGTTTCCACGGCCCACGGCCCCCTTTTGAGCACGGAAATAGGTACATCTAAAAACTGGATCCTCTTCAGATCGCATCTCCGATCCTGCTACCCAACAAATAGCCGTAAGACAAACTGGCTCAGTCTCTGCCGAGTGGCGCGAGATATTACTCCATTCGCCAAAATCTTCCCGATCACATACCAGGACAAGGGCCAGGATCCGGACAAGGACGGGACGGGACTGACAATGGAGTGGAGATGTGCGGAAATGTCTCTGGACGGCACTTCTTTCAAGCACAAGCCCAAGCACCGGTGACCGCCAGGCACACGCAGACTGGCCCGTGGCTGCTCGCGGCGCGAAGCTGAGGCTGGAGAGTCCAACGAACCACCACGAAGCTTGGGCGGGGCCAATGTCTCGGCCTCGAGCGAGCCTTAGTGCCAGCGCTATTTGGACGCTTAGTGCGAGGAAGCCTGTCTGAAAGTCCCCAAGTTTCCCAGGGCTGGGACTTCACCGCATTGAGCCAGACGCACCAGTTCCGCGGTGTCGCGCAGAATCCTACCTGATTGGGCCACATGTCGGGTTTGGGAGCCTGTCGCGCGGGCGACTAAAACTCGTCGGCTCCGTACGTCGTGCGACGTCGGTGATTAATGGGTGAAAAGATAGGCCATGGCCATGCCGAGGGACGAATGAGGGCGGATGGCGGAAGGGGTTTCGCTGACACCATCCAGACCTTTTTGTCTTTTCCTGCTTATACGAACATCCAAGAACTGGCAAAGAATCAGTGGATCACGAAAAGATATTAGTGGCCCAGATTCGGGATACCCACCCTTAATATCGAGGGCACAGATTGAAGTTGCTAACAATGAAGAGAGGGGAGGCCAAGCAATCGTGAGCTGCTTACAGTTTTTGGTTGGTGCACTAAATCACACGAACCACCTATATATATACCTATATACGAGATATACGCCAGTCTGTATACATGGTTGATAAGGCCGTAGTCTGTTGGTTTCCAAACAAACTTTCACTCGATATCAAAAGCCATATATATCCCCCTTCCTTCCACTGTTCAATTTTCAATTCCTGTATTACATCTCTACGGAAATTCAGCCTTCTCATACAATACACAATGAGTGAGTCTGATACAACGCATCTGAAGCCGTCGTCAGCGGAGCAGAATGCCGGCTCGGCCCCTTACACGCCGTTCCTGCTACGACTCTACGATTTCTGGGTTCTCGGAGTATCAAACCACTTTGCCTGGCAATGCTCAACAACAAAAGTCCAGCTCCCTCTCTTCAAAGCCACAATAGGAACAAGACACCTCGACGTGGGCGTCGGCACAGGCTACTATCCCGCCAAAACCGTCGAGACCGAAACGCCCTGCAAAGAGATTACCCTCGTCGACCTCAACCCCAACACGCTGAACCAAGCCGCCGCCCGCATCAACGAAGCCCAAAAGAGCATCAAGGTCAACACCGTCGTCGCCAACATCTACGAACCGCTGCCTCTCCCCGCCGGCGAAAAGTTCGACTCCATCAGCACCTTTTACCTGCTCCACTGCCTCGCGGGCCCCCCTGAGAGCAAGACAAAAGTGTTTGACGTGCTCAAGACCTACGTTGCCGACGACGGCGTCTTCGTGGGCACGACGATTCTCGGCGAAGAAAGGCCGATGAATTTCTTCGCCTCGCGGCTCATGAAGATTTACAACGAAAAGGGCATCTTTGACAACTGGCAGGACAGCAAGGCCGTGTTTGAGGAGGGCCTGCGGCGGAACTTTGACGAGGTTGATATTCAGATTATCGGGAGGAGCATGGTCTGGACGGCGAGGAGGCCCAAGAAGGAAGCATAATGCGCTTGAGGGGGGGGCAAAAGGCACGCACATCACATGATGGCTTCAGGGGGGGTGATTGGATGATGGGAGAGTGTGTAGGAGTGAGATGCATGCTTAAGTGCAAAGTGGCGTTGGCAGCTTTGTTTTTTTTTTTTCTCCTTTTTGATTTGTGGACAAATACACGTAGTTTCTTTTTGCCTTTTGATACATGGAAGATTAGTCGTTGCCTTTTTTTTTTTTTTTATCTCCTTTTATTTTCATGTTCTTGTTCAATGTGTTGTTACATCCAGGTACATACAAGCATACAACGAATACCATCTAGCATATCTCTTTTTTGTTGTTTCCGACACAAAACATAAGTCCCCCCCCTTTTTTAATTCCCATGTATATATTAAATTCATGCCCAGTATTCTACACCGTATACATGCCCTACTCCTTTAGCCGCATCAAAGCTGAAATGTGCAGGGGCGGGGTCCCATGCAGGATGACTCTCAGCTGCCAGACATCTTTTAGTTTTCTCATGCCATCAATCAACGGGGGAGGGGGCGGGGGCGTACAGAACAAGACGATGGCATTTTATTGCTCCAGTTTTTGCTGCTAGTTCTGTGCCACTTGTTGTTGTACAAAAGAACAAAAGGCATGCAAGCCAACGCTTGTGATGGGTTTGATAACTTTCTTCTCTTTTTGCAAGGGTCCGTGAGCGGACTAACGGAAAATATGCACTGCAAACAGGATGTCTTCTGACGTATTGATGTTCGGGATAATCCTTCCGGGTGACATTCTGTTATTGTTTGCTCATCACTCGATTTGTACTTTTTTGAGACGTGCGTGATACACAACCTCTAGCAAACAAAGGTTTTTACCATATGCCTTATTCATTTGTAATTTTTTGCCTAGAAGCATCTAAACTATACTTGTTGGTACTCCCTTATCATTTTCGTATTGAGCACAGCAAACTTCTCGAAAGTGATGTTGGATGAAATGGCTTTCCAACGTTGGTGATGGGCTTATCTACTCCCAATCATCTGACGCACTAAAGGCGCTCACTGCGGCGACATATTGGATGTCGATCATTTATGTTGCACGTTTATGGAATCTGTTTTGAACTTGTGTCCCTTGAAAGAGCAAGACAAATGCTTACAGTGAAGCGTAAAATACGCCGACTTCTGTTCATTATGCGTTTGGCTTTGAATGAAAGATCATAAGACGTCAAACTTAAGACGGGAATGGTTTGTCACGTTTCTAAAACCAAGCTTATTCTACTTGTGGTAGCCTTCCTTCCCACTTTTGACTTCTCATCTACCGAAAACTCAAGAAAACAGTGTAATCTCTTTTCTCTTCTCGGTATAGTTCGCTACATAGCAACCAAGCATCATCTCCTTCTATCCGTAGATCGTCCCAACTGTCGTTGACACGGCCTCAACTCTCGTCTCAGCTTACGCAACCTTACCACCCTTTTTTCATCAGCTTATTATTTCCTTCTCCCCAACATATTCTTCACCCTTGGGTGGCGCCACGAAACTTTGATGTGATATTACGCTCCCACCACTACCCAGATGAATAAGCTCTAATCATTCAAAGAGCCCAATATCCCAACGAAGCGTAAGGCGGTAACTCTTCGTATGCATGACCAAAGCGCTATTCGTCATGAGCTTTACCATAAGTAGTGTCCTTTTTGTAGCTTTGTTTCTTTCACTCTTTTAATTGAACAAGGTTTTATGCGACTGCGTCGGTGAAGGTTGGGACGATACGCCGAATCTTTATTTGAAGGACATTCAACCCATGGTCAAGAAATCTACTCAGGTTAAAGTTTACTTACTAAAGGCCAATGGCAGGTAAGCTTCGTATATTAATTGAGTTGCTGATATGGCGTAGATGGGAAGATCTCAATGAGCGTGTGAGATTGCGATGATACATTGCATGTTGCTACTGGCCACACTTGGCTAAGACAGCAACAAGAGCCAAGGTAGACAAGAGTATGAATGGCCAAGGAACACTACAATCCCATATATCATTGAATCGAAAAAAAGAATAATAATTGCTCGCTCGTCAAAATAATTACAATTATACCTCTCAGGCCGGCACACAAACAAAACTGCCCATAGCCAAAATCCCCCTCCTCTCCAAAACTCCCCAAGGCCACGCCCAGAGAAGAGAGAGCGACTCATATACCATACGTACACATTTGCCGTAACGTCCACCCCCGCTGCCCAAAAGATATCCGAATTCAAATCCTTCCCTGAATAGTTCTGATGCTCAAGTGCTGCCAATAATTCTGTAGAGTACGCTCTCTCGCTTTGTCTTGCCGGGATTCTCTTTCCGCTAACCATACGCCCATCTTCAACACGTTTACCAGAAACTACACCATCCTATGTAGTGCTGACACAGATTCTCCAACTTTGTAGCTTCAATAATGAGCTTGTTCACTTGGTTAATAACATCCAGCTCCTCATTAGGCTTGAAATCTCGCCCCGTAAGCTTCTGAGAAACCCGGTCGAGAACTTCGATTGCTCTAGCGTTCTGACTCTCTCTCTCTTCAGCGCCATTGGCTTGAATACCATCTGGCACCGCTGAGCTATTCGTGCGGGCCCTATGCCTTCCGGGAGGCGCCGATGACTCAACATTTGCCATTAGCTCAGATGGAGCTACATCAGCGTCCAAAATGGATTGTCGTCGTGCCCGCATGGCATGAGGACCTGCCAGCTGTGCTTCGCGCTCAGAACGGAAATTCGGTCCGGCGGGGGAAGCGGCATTTGTAAGTCTCCAGGTAAGTAGCGGATCATGAATAAACTATCACATGAAAAAATTAGCTTAAAAGCTCTTTGGTCGAGTTTCCATTTCTGTGTTGAATAACTTACCGCTTCTAACACAGCCATTACACTCTCTTTATTATCTCGCAATACCCTCATTACATGTTCGCATGTAATTCTGAAGCTTCCTTCGATGTTGCTAACCTCCATGGCGTATGTCAACATGCGCGTAAGTCGGAAAGGCACTCTCTCAGGGTATTTTTCACGCTTGGTGGCGACCTCAAAGCAATCACCAAAATCGATATGAATGATCTTGCCCGTGACGCGGTCCAGCATGAGATTGGACGGGTGGCGATCTCCCAGACCCAAGATATATCCTACCATGGACATGACACCCAGGGATCGAGTGTAGTTCGTCCGCCGTTCTAGCCAAGCTTCGGACGATTTAGACTTCAGCCACAGGACACGATAGAGATCTTGACCCGTTGTGTTGTCCAAGGCATATCCAAACACTTCAACCTTTTGCATGAGCGTAAGATTGTCATAATCCGGAGCCATCTGGAGCATTATGCGGTGCTCAATGTTGAGGAGGATTTTGCGACTTTCACGATATTCCCTGATGAGAACATGTAATGTGTCACTATTCGGGACCCAGCCAAGGAGACCAGAGTTCTGAGAAAGTGGAATAGCAGGGTAGCGCTGGATATTAAGGTGTCGTTTGTAACATTCGGAGTCGTTGGCCAATAGGGTGTTGCACAAGCCGAATAGCTGCATCACACGCTCGTCCTGGCGAATATCTTCATGGCCCTTGAGCAGGAAAGCGTATGAAATACCATCGCTGCCATTAACGTTGAGTTTTCTCGGCCTCTGCTTGGAGTTGATGACTGTGAATGTGGAGTCAAAGGACATGATCCTCACAATGGGCTGTCCACTTTTGTATGTTCCAGGAACGGCCAGATCAAGATTCTTGGCGTTTAAGAGCTTGGGCGAACAGTATGTGAGTTCTAAACTTGTGACCTGCGGCAGCTGCCTAGTAATGCGTCGGAACACCTGGTAGTAAAGATCCCACGCTTGATTTAGGTCATTTACGTCCCTGCTCGTCTCATACTGGTGGCACCAGTCTTGAGCTTCTTTGAGGTCTCGTCCGAAAGCTTGGGCAAAGGATATTTCCCTAAGCGTCTCGGGTCCTCGCTCTAATTGTTCGTGAAGAGGTTCCAGCGCTGAGAACATGCCATCGATGTTGTGATCACCAAAGTACAGCCTCGATGCCTCTTCCAAACCTTCGTGCCAAAGCTCGTGCCAAAGTACAGCTACTCTAATCAGCTCATGGCTGACTGTATCTGCTTGTGCAACGAGATTGGCACTGTGCTGGCGCATGCTATCCATAATTTGCGCCGCGGACCTGGAGCGCCGGCTATTCTGCCAAGACTTCATAGCAACGGTGAGAGGATAGACCAGCGCCTGCGGGTGCGCTCGACCAACATCGGCAAGGAGGTTATGCACAGACTGCTGGACACGTTTGTTGGGCTGATTGATTCTAGCAATAAGCTGAGGGATAACCTCCAACCAAGTATCGATGCTGACATTGGCAAAGCCCTCGGTTACAGCCGTGTTAACATCCGAATTGCCTCCGTGTGTGAACCACAGGGTCAATAGACGCAGCGTGTCTTGAAGCGAGCTGCCGGCAGATAGCGCAATGGATTTGAAGAAACCTTGTATGGCTGGAACAACATGTTCAATGATCATTGTCTGATCTGCTCTTGACATCTGTCCCTCGTTTCTGGCGGCCAAGGTCTGTACAATTTCAAAATTGGCGAGCGCCCAGGCATGCCAGGCTTTGTACCAACGAGGGTTGTACTTGGTAGCCTGCGAATATGAGGCCAAAATGTCCTGAATCTTTGTATTCTGCCAGTCGTCTTTGTTCAGCGCAATCTGCCATTCGCCTTGTCGCAAGTAGCATTTCGCCAGCAGCACCGTCTGGTCAACCAATGCCCGCTGCGTTTGCGGGCTCATTACAGATGGGTCAATCTGGTTCTGGAAGCCATATTCAAGAGACAGAGTCACGTCACTTCCAGTTTGCGCGGTAAGATGGGCCTTTGCAAGATCGAGGCGGTGGGCCGAATCATTGGTAAAGCGCTGTAAGCAGTACAGAGTCCGCTCGGCAATGCCTGACGCCTTCATGGATGGTTGCTGGCCAAGTTCCCACTGGTACTTGAGCATGCCGTAAATGACCTGAGCAGCTGGAGGGGTGCGTGGAGCTTGCCCTGG